CTTTCGAGGAAGATCCTCTCTTCTCCTCCTCCAGTTCAGCCACACGTTTCTGCGCGACATGCAGAAGTCCTTTTAGCACACCGACCTCGATCCGGTGGTTCCTACGAGTTCTGAGGAGCTTTAGCATAAGGAGACGTGTCACATTACGCTCCTCCTCGCGCTCCTCATCTCCTAGAGGTAGATCAAGCCAGTAGTACAGATTCTCCTCGAGATACACATCTCTCATCTCTGCGTTGAAAGTCTGCCATTTCTCAATGGCTTCGGCGGAGGCTTCTTCGTGGGTTCTCCCACCAGAGAACTCGAGCTCGTCAATGAGCCTTTGGATGTCCAGGAGCTGTTTTTCTCCATCGGTGGGCTCGTGTTCACAGAAAAGCTTCAGGAGACCGCGATTAAGCTCCCTGCGGCGGGCAAGGGATTCTGACGTCTTCTTGTCAAGTCCGGTACCGATGAACATGTTGAAGGGATGGGGAATCTGGGTGAGATCGTGGATTTATAGCTGAACACGCTGGGTCACTGTGTGATCTTGAGCACGAAGAACTCGGAGGCTAGGGGTAGAGTAAATAAGATCAAAATAGCATGTCTTTTATACTAAACAATAGCGGGGGAATGAGTGGTGACTGGAGCGGAGAGCACTCGAGATCAAAAAAGAGAAAAACCCAAGCATGAACGACCGAAAAACTACGAAACACGGTCCGGGTCTCTCCCCTTCAAACCATGAAACTGACCCATGTCCGAATGAATCCAAACAACGCATGTCCAACTAATTCAATTCAAACAAGTCCCCTGAGCGAACAGATCGTTCGGAGAACGGTTTTCTAACAAAGCCACCCTAAACCGCACGGTCAGAATAAAAGACCATTTGGAGCAGATCGGGCGGGGTGCGTTTGATGACGAGTGTCGGATTGGACGGACTGCCTGGGGGCGAGTGCTCGCGAGTTTCGGATACACTGGACCAGTGAGAAACAGCCACCAGTGCAGGCTACTACCAGTGAGATGCGTGGAGGCTGACAGACACCATAGAGAAAACGCTTCGAGTCAGGTTTCGAAATACCAATCTTTATCTGCACAGTAATCAACATTACCGATTGCTGACACAATAGCATCGAGGGAGCTTGATCTAACCCGGGTGGCCTTAAGCACACCACGGGGTCGAACAGTGGACCCTCGATGTCGAAGCACACAAGCCCTCTCTACTGAACTGAAGCACACTTGGTGCTCGTCAAACGATCGACATGTCATGGAAGACAGTCGGAAATTTTTCATCCCCTCAGTCGGCAAAAGCCGACTGAGGAGATCTTGCTCGGTAGTGCTCGGTGATGTTGGATATTCCTCACTGATCTCTGTGAGGAATACGCCCTCAGAGACGAGTTTCGACTCTGCGAAGGATAACAAGAAAAATTCAGGATTAGGCCAAATACAAAAATATTTTATTGCACCAGGATGTTGTAAATCGCAAACAAAAACCTATACAGATAGGTGAGGAACACGGCATTACCAAGGGCGGATTGTAGCCTCACACAGAGGTAGATCAGTGCGAGTACCAACAGGGTGGCGGTGACCTTCCCGAGCAACAGTAATCTCCTCATGAGTTTACTTCTCTTCTTTTTGGAGTGTCGTCTCTTGGAACTCCGGCCATGTTCAACTTGTGGGTCATCGGGCCTGATGACGTCGGCGTCGGTTGATCGCTGGGAGGAGGTCAACTCCTCCAGATTGATTTCCTCATCGCCTTGATCCTCCGGGTTTTCGAAACGGTTCCATGGTATCCTTGTAACGGAGGAGCGCCTATCCCCGACCTGACTGATGTCGAAGTGACTTGTGTTTCCTCGGGACATCCTTCGACGTCTCTTTGCTCTTCGTATACTTTCGCAACGTTTAGCACAGCAGCAGGACTCACACTTCTTCTTCAGACTGCGCTGTCTCCGTAGACTTCGATTGCTGTCCTTGCTTCGTGAACCGCGAGGCTTCCTCCCTCTACGAGAGACCGAGCGTGTAGTCTGGGCGGATTTGAATCCGAACAGTCGCAGGAGGTAATTGAGCATCGGAAAGCTCTTCGTTGCTACGAATGATTGTCAAGGGAAATCGATCCCCTTTTATACTAAGTCTCCAAGTACGTCACTAGACAAAAAAGTTAGACCTAAATTTTCTCAACGAAACCTACGAAAATTAAAACAGAAAACACATAGATAATCAGAGAATAAGATAAGAGATTTATTCTACAGTCTATAAGTGTACAAGAACCAATTTTAATCAGAAAAACCTGTTAAATAAAACTAGAATCAGATCGACTTCATTGTTAAGATACGGAGATAAGCCAAGTAGAATTTTTACAATCATTCATGACTCCCTCTACTTTGATGATTTCATCAAGAATATCGCTCTGTACACGCTCATAGGGCACAGTAACGTTCGTCAACGATCTACCATGGGGTCTCAGAAGACAAATCTTATCTCTCGGTGATAGACAGATCACTCCGAGACGTTTCCGCGAACACTCAAAAGTCTACGAGCGGAATCCTATCACGGGATCGTTCATCGATCACCACTCGAGACCAGGGATTGAATCCGAATTTCTCTGCTTCAGCTTTCGAAATGTGATCAGTGAGCACCTTTGGTCCTTCAAATCGTGTGACCAAAAGCCTCTCAATCGATCCTAGTCGTGTCGATGATTTATCGACGGTGCTGGCAATGCCCTGAAGCACCAGGAAATTGAGAATTCCCACGATGAGAATGAATATCAGTGTCACTGATGAGCAACTACATCTATCACAGCAGTATCTCCTTCTTCGGAACCCATCGTACACGTCCCGAGTTGGAAACAGCAAAGACCGCGTAGGTGGCGGCATGCTCTCCTCATCGGATAAGGCAGGTCCAGGGATGGGACCGAGTTCAATGCCGTTGTTCATTGTTCATCGAATGGAGCATTCAACACAAACCAATTGACGGAACACGATGGAATGGATCTCTCAGGATATGATCAGAGATTCACGTCGGAGTCAGGAATGTTCTCTCCCACGAAACGAATCCATCGTTCTAGACAACGTCTAGACCTAAGCATCTTAAGTGACCATCTGAAATGCCCCAAAAAGCCCAGAATAGACTGAGTCTATCGCTTCTTCTTCGATTCCCATCTGTGGATGATACTCCAGTAGAATCACATGTCTTCTCTACGAACAACGAAAATCTACTTCCGGAATGACCATCCATTCTTCGTCCATTGAATCCTATGGATAATCCGAGACTTTAGATAACGAAATGTGAATCATCATCAGGAATATTGAGACACCCTGTATATCAAAATCTGGCCCACTGAGATCTAGGAGCATATGTGAATGCGGACTTCATGCAATTCATTCGGAACATGCAATATGTTAATCAATATGGTATAGGTGATGGTTAAATAACTAGTTTATTATCGTATCAGACCGCTTCCAGCGAAGGCGGGGTGTTCAGAATCTATGTTCCCTGTAACCGTCTGATACACTGAGGGAGACAGTGTTCTTTCTCTTTACCACTTTCCACTTCTTCTGGACCTATATAAGCACTGCAACAACTGGAATAAATACTGGGTAACACCAACTGTCTGTTCTATTATACTGAGCTCTGCTTAAGTGTCCAGTGAATATCGAATAACACGCACTGCATCACATTTGTCCCAGACGCACATGATGACGCACCACACAAGATGACACGGCGATACACTTCGGTGAGGTCTTGTTCGCCCTGTGTGCAGACATGAACGGCATATACAAGAGCGTCGCTCGAATACGATAGTTCGAGCACCGGTGAGCCCGGTAAACTATTTTCGTTCATAATTCGGGACGAATCATCGGAGATTCGTTGTACTGCTTTCGGAACAGTACACGATCGTTTCTACGAACGTGTCACTGAGGGGAAGTCGTATCAGATCGCCAATTTTTTCTGTAAAGCGTCCAACCCTCAATACAACAATACAAACAATGATGTCGAGCTCAATCTTGACGATCTCGCGCTGAGATCTTGACATGTCAACGACGATAATCGAAATTCCCGACGAACTTGAGCTCGACGATGATTACGACTTGACTCCGTTGATGAATCTGCCGCGCGCCTTCAAAGACAATGCGGTCTTCAATATAAGTGGGGTGATCGTTTCCATATCCGAGACGACACATATACAGAGGATGAAGGACAATAAGCTCATCCCTAAATACGATATACGAATCGCGGATCAGCACAAAAAATTGGTGAATATCACGGTATGGAGCGACGACCGCGTCGATATCGTCGACAATACTGGCCGTGCTGTAATTCTGACCAGGGTGAAAACGAAGGTCTACAACGGCCATCCGACATTCACTCTCACGCAGGATTCGGAAAAAATATTCGACGATACGATCCACGAGATACGTGTTTTGAACGAATGGTGGACAGCTCATAGCTCGGTTAGGGGGGACCTCGGTCCTCTTTTCCAGTTTTCGATAGAAACCAAAAGAGTCGTCATAGCGAACATGATTCATGATCTCGTTGAAATGCCGGCGGAGGTGTACGCCAAATTCGTGATCCGTGGCAAAGTGGTGAACTTCGATGACAGATTACACTTTTACAAATCGTGTCCGAATGTGACTTGTTACAAAAAATTAGAGGAAAGATCCTCGGGCACATATTGGTGCCCTAGGTGTCGCCACGAAGCTAGATCACATGACGTGGGCGCAACGACGTCAAGCGAAATAGAAGACGTGACCGGACAGCGAGTGGAATGTACGGTTTTTGGAATGACCATCTCAGTTTTGTTTGATCATAATCTGGACGACGTGACCACGTCTGCTTCTAGTATGGAGCCAATTCGGGCTCTACGGGACAAAGTCTTTGATTTCAAAATTTCTGCGAAGAGATGTTTTTTCTCGGGTGGTCATAAGAATGTTTTCGCAGTCCAAGGCTGTGACATTGTTTCAGACGAATATACATTACGAAGATTACGTTTAGACTTTACGAAGCCCGGTTATCCATTTTCATTACAGCGCTCAACGCTATTCGGTGGAGTATGCGGGGATAACCGGCCCTCCGGGTGGTGGTTGGCCCGGGGGGTTTGGCCGGAGAGTTGAGATCCTCCGGCCATGGCTTAAATTCATGTATCTCGTCCGATTATATAATCTTAATAAAGAGATTTGTTTCATGGCTTTAATCCCTTTTTTTACCCTCATTCGCTAGTCTTCGGTGGGATGCTGTAGTTAAAGATCTTTCTAATAAATCTTACGAACACTCACGTTGAATGCGGAAGTATTCTGAATCAAAGCCCTGTAGATGGAATGTGTGTGAGAGGGTACTCTTGAAATTCTTATGAGTGTGAGAACACACTCACGCGAACATAGTGCTTAACATAACATAAGTTTTGTCCAACATGACAATGATGTCGTATAATTACTCTGAGCTGACTCTGATTTGATCTGACCTGACATAATCTTGACATGACCTTGAATTGATCTTCTCTTGACCTCGACATTGTGCAAAAAAAAAACCTAACCTAACCCAACCTAACCTGACTGGTGTTCATAAGTTTTGTCCACTATGACACAGATGTTGAATTTGGACCCTGATCCGACGTTGATCCGACCTCGATGCTACATTGACCTGACCTGACCCGACCTTGACCTAACCTTGATCCGACCTTGACCTGGACTCGACCTGACATGGACTTGACACTGTCTTGACATTTTTTATGGTAATACACGGATTTATTTAATCATCCGGGGGGATAAGGAGGGGCCAAGGCAGGCCGAGATCATTGAAGCGCTTGGAAAGTCTCCAGCGGAAACTATTGAATACAGTGTTATTGCGGGCTCTGGGGATGACGAATAACCGTCCAGAGCGAGTGTTTGTGGGGCGGGTAATGAAGAAGCCTCTCATAAATTGAAGACGTAGAACTGTATGAGCGAGTCTCAGGTCCTTATCGTCGAGGATATCGCTAATTGAGGGGAGGAAGCACCGATCAAGCTCAGTTCCACACTTAGCGGCTACTCTTCTGAGGAACTTCCGCTGAAGTCCATCCAGAGCTGCCACGGAGCCCTTGAGCCAGGGTCGCCAGACTTCAGAACCGTAGAGCAGGGAAGGCAGAACAAGTGCCTCAAAGGCGCGGAGGTAGACCTCCGGAATTTTACAATCGAAAGCTCTGAGCACAAAATTTGCTGTTCTGCCCGCTCTTGCGATAGCCATATGGACATGCCTCTCGGGTTTCAGGTCAGAACTGAATACAACCCCGAGGTCCCTGACCTGGCGGTTCTCAGGAATAGCCTCATCGAGGAGCATGTACGTGAAAGGCGCATCGTGGAGGATATGGATGGCAGAAGATTTCGAGGAAGAGATCAGGAGCTTCCAACGAAGAGCCCAACGTCCGATGTTGGACAGGGATGATTGGAGCGCGTCACGCGCTCCCGGCTTAGAGATATCAGCGAAGATCTTTGTGTCGTCAGCGAAGGTACGGTACTCGACACCATTTACAATCTCGTATCGAAGATCGTTTGTGAACAGCAGGTATAGAAGAGGTCCAATGACACTACCCTGAGCTACACCTGACGAACAGTGGTAAGGGCGGGAGAAAGAGGAATCAATTCTAACAATGGCAGAGCGGTCATGGAGGAAACTCGCAAACCAATCACAGAGTCGACCGGAGAGGCCAAAAGAGGGAAGCTTCGAGATGAGCAATCTATGGTTAACAACGTCGAATGCTGCCCGAAAGTCGATATAAATAACATCAATCTTGGCCGAAGTATCATTGTACGAAGATATCCAGTAATTATGAGTATCGATTAGCTGAAGAACAGTAGACCTCTTAGACCGAAATCCGAATTGGTAAGGATCAAGGAGGGAGTGGAATTCACAGTGAGTGGTAATAAGGTTGGCAAGTATCCTCTCAAGGACCTTACTAGCAACAACATTTATAGAAATGGGCCTATAGTTACAAGGATCGGCACGCGAGCCCTTGCCCTTGTAAACGGGCGTGACAAACGAGACCTTCCAAGCAGCAGGCACAATCCCACTCCGAAGAGATAGATTGTAGATAATTTCGAGGGGCCTGGCAAGGCCGAGCGCAGACTTCGTGAAGAAGAGTGGAGGTAATCCGTCAGGGGTGACTGTGAGTTTACTACCTAGAGTACGAAGAGTGTTGAACACAGTGAGTTCATCAATCGAGGGATCCTGGAGCAAGGGCGGCGACATCCGTTGGGGGCCATCAGCGATCTGCGACCCATCGTCGACAGTATGGAGAGATGAAAAGTATTTAGCCAGGAGATCAGCCTTCTGCTGGGACGATATGAGCACCGAACCATCAGCAGATTTGAGTAGAGGAACGCCGGCTCCTCCGCTCATGCGGCTCTGAGCGTAACGGAAGAAGTCACGTGGATGGCCAGAGGCGGCGACACGGGACTCAACCGACCTGCGCTCTCGAGTTACAAGGCGCTCAATCCTGGAGATGGTGTCATCATGCATTTCCGCTGACTGTTGAACGGCGGGATCGTTGAGTCGCTCATACAGACGAGCGATATGGTCAGGTAGGCTGTGGTTTGGCCGAGATGAGGTGCGTCGAGGAATAAAGGCGTCCCGCAGGTCACACAGGAGCCTCACGAGAAAGTCATAGAGAGCATCAACATCCCCATGAACACTATCGGCCACGCCCGGCCACGGGACAGCGAGGAGGTGATCCGTGATGGCATCGTAATCACCCTTTTTGAAATCGAATGACTGCCTAAGTGATGAAGCATTCGAGGTAGTAAGGGTTAGCTTGAAGGATAGTAGGTAGTGATCCGATTTGATCGGTGCCGGTAGTACGGCGATATCACCAAGAATGTCCTCATCATTTGTCAGGACGAGATCGATGATATTACCACTACGATGAGTGGGAGCAGAGACGACTTGCGATAGTCCATAGAAGGAGACGAAATCTCTGAACAGTTCCTCTCTTGAGCGCGTGCTGCTGTCAGAAGAGGCAGGGCAGGTAAATGATATCCAATCAATGAGTGGTAGATTCATGTCACCGCAGCAAATAACAGTCGCATCATTGCTGAGGAGCGACTCGAGTTCGCTTATGAACGACGAGATGCGATGGATACCATCAGCCACAGACTCGGTCCAGGGAGGGTAGTAGAAAGAGATGAGGCGGAGTTGACGACTCGGTGTGAAGAGGTCGCAAGCACAAACCTCTCCGTCACCAAAAATTTCAATGGGGCAGCAGCTGAGGGTCTTACATACCAGGATGCACACACCTCCTCCAGGCTTGGAGCCGGGGCGATCTCTCCTGATGACAGTGAAAGTATCATTGAACGATAATTCCGCGTCGCTGATCGAGCCAGGCTTGCACCAAGTCTCACATATAAAGATGATTTGTACAAAATTTTTCGTGCAGTAGTTGAATAGAATGTCGAGTTTACCGGGAGATGCGACACTAGCAGCATTAATGGAGATGACCCCAAGTCAGCTAAGGCTAACTGGCTCAGCGGTCTCCTCCACCCTTTCCTCAAGTATAGAGCGTCCACGGAATCTGTCGACGGTGGCCCCCTCAGGCCAGCTTCCAGCCTCGAGCAGTATTCGGTAATCGATATCACTGGTGCTGATGATGAATGAAGCGTAATGGCCAGCTTCATTCTTGAGTTTAGCCACAGAACTGACTCCAGAGGATAAAGTCGAGGCGTAGTCGAAGACGGAGCGAGCCGAGGTAGATTTGGCGAGGCGCGAGACAATAATGCGCGCAGATTTCGGAGGGCGCGGCGCGGCACTCAGAGTGCATGTAGCATTCCCAGTACCAGTAGTGGGCCGGTGCCTCCTGGAGTTGGGTTTCGGCAACTTCCCCCTGGCACCAGAGGCAGGTTGAGGGGGCCGAGGCGGATGATTAGCATCAATAGGTGTATCGAACACAGCTGTGGCCGTCGGCGATGCGGGCCGGGCGGCCTGCTGTGGAGCCAAAGCATTCGATACGACTGGCTCGGTGGCGGGCAACGGTTTCCGAGGCCGGGCGGTTTTCACTTTGTTACTCGCATTTGGATCACATTCAGGGGGGCTTGACACAGGTGGACGACCGGATTCGATCCGCGAAATCTGGGCTTCTCGAAGTGAGGCGATCTCACTGGCCTGGGAGTCCACTTTTGCATGAAGCTCGAGTATTAAGTTTGTGAGCTGAATGACTCGGCAAAAAACGTTTTTGGTCGTAGGAGCCTTCTTCTCAGCGGTAACGCACACCGGACAGAGGCCGGCGTTTTCCTTGCTTACATAGCAGCTCACATGTAAGAAATTTTGACATAATCCCAGACAGGCGAGTAGTGGGCCATGCTCACCACTGAGCGAGCATGATTCACAGACCAGTGTCAGATGATCCAGTAGTCCACCAAGTCGAGATAAGATTAACCACGATAAGTAGAAGAATTCACGGAGCAGCGCGGGAAGCTGCCGCACACGGTGCAATAGCAGGCGACGACTGCAAACCTGACCTGACATTGACCTGACATTGACCTGACCTGACCTTGACCTGATACTGACGTAACCTTGACCTGACCTTGAGCCGACCTTTACCTGACCTTGAGCCGACCTTAACCTGACCTTGAGCCGACCTTAACCTGACCTTGACCGGATCTTGACCGGAACCTGACCGGATCTTGACCGATAGATCTTGACGACACTTGCCATACACTGGACAAAACTTATGAACACCAGTTAGGTTAGGTTGGGTTAGGTTAGGTTTTTTTTTTTGGTTTAGTTTTAAGAGGAGGTGTAGAAAATGCATTATGCACGCCCGGTCTACTTTCCCAACTCGTCGTCTTAAGAGAACGCGCACTTAGGGGTTTCGCCGGGTAGTGTGCGACTCTCACGCACTAAAAACTACCTTCTCCTCTCATCCGAGCGGGGACAGGATAGCGCCTTTCGGCATTCCAACTGTTTCCCGACGGGGGATACTCAATTAGCCTTATACTCCCGAGCTGTATTGTTCTGTGTTGGTTGGCGTCTCTTGAACGAGGCGGTCTTGCTTGGTGTCTTTTTTCCTTGCTGTCTCTAAGCTTGGTGCTTTTTTGTTTTGGTTTTGTGTGCGTTGAGACCTGTGTCTTTTATCTTTGCTGTTTAATTCGTTTGTTCGTGGGACGGGGTCCGCTTAGTCTTTTTTCGGGGGGTACTACGGTGACCTGGCATTCAACCGGGGCATGAACGAACCATTGCTCATGTCCGGTGGCCAGGTCACCTCTTCAGTGAGTTGCGCATGTAGGAATCTGTTTTGGGTAGTTCTATGGCAGTTTTTCTGTTGTTGTTTCCGGCTGACCACTGCTCGAATTACTTGAACTTTGTTGCTCTAGCTTTGCCTCTTGTTTTTCTAGCTTGCTAATCAGGAAGGCTTCTTTTTCTTCGATTGACATTAGTTTCATTCTAAGTTTCTCAAATATAGTCAGATGTAATACTTGTATTTCTTTGGTTGTATTTTCCTTTGGTTGTCCTTTACTTGTATGTGGGGTACCCATTTTTTCCTTCTCCTTATTTTCCAGGAAGACTTCCTTTTCCTCCGTCGACATCAGTCTCATTTTGATTTTTTCAGATCTGGTTTGGTGTAGCATTAGTGTCTCTTGCTTTTCGCTTTTCTTTGCGTCGTGTTTGCCTACTAGCGTAGTGTGCGTTGTCATTTTTATACTATCGCAGAAATGCACGCCAACGTATTTTCTACGGTTGGAATGTTTGCACGTTTTTTTTGATTTTTTATGTTTTTCCTTCTCTCTGTTTTTTGGGGAGCAGGTTGCTCTTAGTGCGGGTTGGCTTCCTTTTGTTCTTTTCGTGCTTTTTCCCGTTTTCTTTTCCCGCTTTTGTTCTTGGGTCTATTCTACGGCTTTGTGTACATACCTAGAATTATCTTTATACGTTATTTATCGATGTATTACGTACTGGTATATTTCTCCGGCCAGTAGTATTGCTATTAGTAGGGCCGATATTTTGACAGTTGATATAAGTATACTTTCCAGGGGATCCGTGTTGTTCCCTTCTCGGGGGCAGCGTGGATGTTGTGCCCTGTCTTCTCGCGTTCTTTCGGACTCGATAGTCTGCAGTTCGGCTTCCATCTCTTGTGATGTGGTGTCCTAACTTTTTGTCACTTTCCTGGTGTCACTGTATTGCTGTGTTGTCTGTGTCACTGCTTGATGGGCCTGTGGCTGTGTGTTGCCTAGACGTCCGGGTCACTACGATGTTTGTACCACTGGTTGCTGAGAGCCTTAGCTGTACGTCACTTGGTATCACTGAGATGTTCGTGTCTTTACTCACTACATCGAGTGGTGCTCTGTGTTTCGTGTGTGTTGCTTTAGTATGCCTCATCGTCCGGGGAGGGGCGTAGGTTTGCCGTCTCCCCGGCGGGCGTGTCCTGTCCGTTCATTGGCTATCAGAATTTCTGTGGCGGCCCGAGAGTTAGTCACGTGTGCTATGCTGAGTGCTATTGTTTTTCTTAGTCGCTTAGCGGCTTCGCCGTCTCGCTTTGGTTACAGTGCCTTTTGTTATTCTTCGCTGGCTACACTGGTATTGTACTTTGATCCCTCGGATGGAGTGCGTCGGTTTCTGTTTGGACAGTCCGTCCTCGGTTTCCGTGTCTGCGGTTTGACCTCTGTCATTCTCGCCTTGTTCGTTTGGTTTCGTAGCCTGATCCTTAAGTAGGATTGCTCGGTTGCTGTTTGGACAGGCGACTAGTCCATCCTCGATCTTCGTGTGTGCGGTTTGGCTCTCCTCTTTTGGCTGCGGTTAGTCTGTTGTGGTGGATCGGATGCAGTACCTCCCTTATGTATCGCTTTCGGTAGTCTAGGTAGGGCCTAATTGCTTATCGAATCAATTCAACAGGCGCGTTTCGAAAGGTGCCAGATCACCCCGATCATATCATTCGGTGGGTGCGGGAGGGTCACGAAAAACATCAACCAAAGAGACCCTTCAACAGCGACTCCTATTTCCGGAAGCTCAGAAAGGAGCTCCGGATACCGAGTCGGCGGATCACGAGGAAAATCTGCAGGAAGAACATAAGGACAGAAGAGGAGATCGAAAACGAGGCGACAGTTTTTTGCACGACATCAATGTAATTATTGCTGATAGAAAAATCCCCGGGGATTGTGTTTGGAATGCCGACCAGAGCAGATTCGGATACGAACCGATCCGAGATCGGACGCTTGCGAGCAAGGGGGAAAAGCAAGTGGAATGTCGAATCGTCGATTCAAACTCATTAACGCACTCGTATTCGATTCAAACTCATATTTCAAAGAGGGGCAAATTAGGGTAAAAAAGCTTTCATTGTCTTTCAAGAGGTCGCCGGCAACCATTTTGGACCGCGAATTCAGGAATTAATCTCGTCCGTATTATTGTCTTGTCCGAATATCAAAGTAGCTTGCACGAAATCCGGTAAATTCACGAGTGCGTTGATGCGCGATTGGTTCAACGATTTATTCCTACCATCGGCTAGTGCTGCACCCTTACTATTGATATTAGACGCCTGGTCGGGTCAAGGACCCGAGAGCGGTTTGAACTACCCAAATGTTCAAATCGAATATATTCCAAAAGGCGCAACAAAACACGTGCAGCCCCTTGATGCATATTTTTTCCGCCAGTACAAAATTCTAGTGAAAAATTTAATTCAGAGCTGCCGCGATATGTATTTCTCTGATCAGACCCCCGCCAAGCCATGCAATCGGTACTTTATCATGAAACTACACAGCGTATGCTACAATCAAGTCCAGCACCCTCGGTTCTCCGCCATGTGGAAGTACGCATGGCAGAAATCCGGGTACGAGCTGGAAGAGGAAGTGCAAGAGTTCGAGAGTCTTATCCAAATTTTAATTAAACCGATCAGAACACATATTCATTCTAAATGTTCCAATCACCTTGAATTTCCTCTCATACGCTGTGTTTACTGCTCACAATTCTTATGTTTTAAATGTCTTTTCGAACCTATCCACGTGCATCCTTGAGTCGATTTCCTGTGATCAAATAAACTCATTGTCATTATCGAATCTCTTGCCGTGATAAGATCGAGGCTTCCCGCCATTCCATTCAAAACTGCATGCCCTCTCTCTTGTCATCTCGGCGTCTTGCCGTTTCTGAGCGCCTTGAACCGCCGGTGCCGCAGCCCCAATACGCCGGGCGTGCAATA